GGTCATAAAAAGTGCCTTAGACACAAGATAGTCATAAATATGGATTTAAAATATGTGTAGCCTTAAATACATAAATACCTGCATAGCAAATATTTTGTGGATCCAGCAGCTTTCTGCAGAAACCTGAAGTTAAGTGTGAACTTAAATATAGACTTTAAATATTTATTAAATATTAAATCAATAAATATTTATTGAATATCTACTGTGTTGTAAGAAGAAAGGCTTCCTGAAGTTTTAACCTAAATCTCTATATTCTACCCCATTCCCCTTTTGATTACAGATAATGCAGCCATTCCCTTTTTAGTCAGAAAACCAAAATAGCCCTCATCAGTCACTAACACATCACCTTTTCATTTTCCTTTAATAGCAGTTGTCTGCTGTTAATCTAAAATTATTTTGCTTACTTGCTTATTACTTGCTTCTTCCTTTTAGAATATAAGTAAGCTCTGTGAGGGCAGAAATCATGTCTGTCTCATTTGCTCTTGAATTACTTGGGTCTAGGACATATGGCACTGTGCATAGGCACTGAGTAAAATATTTGGTGAATTAATGAATTTTAAAACTCACTAAATATGTATAATCCAAAAAGCAAATTATGGTTATTAATTTCAAACTTCTTCCTTGTTAAATCTTTTTTTTTTTTTTCGAGACAGAGTTTCACTCTTGTTGCCCAGGCTAGACTGCAATGGTACAATCTCAGCTCACTGCAAACTGTGCCTCCCAGGTTCAAGCAATTCTCCTGCCTCAGCCTCCCAAGTAGCTGGAATTACAGGCATGCACCACCATGCCTGGCTAATTTTTGTATTTTTAGTAGAGACAGGGTTTCACCATGTTGGTCAGGCTGGTCTCAAACTCCTGACCTCGGGTGATCTGCCCGCCTTGGCCTCCCAAAGTTCTGGGATTACAGGCGTGAACCACTGTGCCTGGCTCCTTGTTAAATCTTTTACTAAGACTGTTAACTCCTCTTTTTTATAATCTGGAGTTGCTAGCAAAATAATTTGATAAATGGCCATATACAGTAGCATCTAAATGATATGTATACTGATCAACCTCTGACTGATTGAACTTGTAAATTAAGCCATCATTCTTAATGTCTTTCATGACAGATGAGTAAAAAATTATTTTTGTGTGAAGGCCTATTGTCTTTTTGTTTTTATATCCACTTTGCCTAGCACTTGATCGTTCCTTATTAGTGGTTTCTGAATGAATGAATGATAGCTAGTCTTAACATCTTCTAAATTTTTATGACGCTGATACTTACAGTACATTATCCTTCTAATTTTTTTGTACCTAGCAGTGTCTGCTTTTTGTCATTAGGAATCTGAAAACAGGCCCCTGGATGTGTTTGTGTGTGGCTTTTATTCCTTGCTTAGAGTTGGGCCATCTTATTACCAACAATTTCTCTAGTTGGTTACTAGAGAAATGATCACAATACACCATGTCTGCATTCTTTTTTCTTATTAAATTATATTGTAATGGTAATATCACACCAGGTTTAGAGAATTTACTTTGTAGTCCTCAGTGACAGACTCCATACTTAGTCGATTAAAATATATAGATATAGACAAATAGCTAGATATACATAAATCTGTTTTCTTGCAAAATGACCATTTTAGGATCTACCTCTGTCTCTAACAAAACTAACATAGATTTTATGAAATTATCTCAGTTATTAAAAATCATTCTCTAAACCTTGGGTTTTCTTCAGTTCTCTCCCAGCATTTACATAACTTTCTCTTTTGAGTAAATGTTAATTCTTTTAATCATTTAAAAAATTCTGGTGACTGAGTACCTGAGCCTTTTCTGCAGATGTTGGCATCTGGGACAGTTTTTTTACGCTTTTTTGTCTTCCCTGTTCTAAGATCTTTGCTGAAAGCAGCCCACTTCCCCTTGTCAGTGCTTCTTAGTGTGTGTATCCCTCTTCTGTCATTTATTGTTTAGTTCTATAAAATGCTTATGTTTCATCCTGAAGAATAGATTGGGAAGGAGATGACACACTGTGAGTGCCATGCCCAGACACATGATCTGCTTGTCAAGCAGAATAGTTATAAATGAGCTGTGAGTTAAATTCTAGTGAGTGGCAGTATTATTTTTCAAGATTTCACTTTATGTCTCAGTCTGTTTACACTACAGAAATGTGTTGCTTTTTGTTTTTGAGATGGCATCAGTGAGACCTCACTGATAATTAAAGATTTAAGTGTTAGATTGAAATCAGCAAAATGACATTCTTTATATGTAACAATTGATGCAGCAGACTAGGAGTGAAGGAGAAATTTTTTTTTAAAAAAGATGTTAGCTGGATTTTTTTTTTTAAATGGGGAGACAGATCATTCTTATTTTTGTTAAATACTTAAATTTTTAAAATCACTGTACAGTGAAAAAATTTTTAAACAAGAATAATGGAAACGACAAGAGGCAACAGATTGAGGGAATGATTTAAGAATAATTGTGGGTGTTTAAGAAGAGAGGCTTCTTCCTCTCATTGTGATCTTCCTTTGGTGAAAATGGTAAAACAAAGGCCAGCAAATTTAGAAGGAAGCAGGAAATCCTAGTTAGTGGCTGTCAATTGAATATTTAAGAACAATGAAAATACTTATGTTAGATTTTAATGCTTTTTCCCCCCATTTTTTTTGTTTTTGCTTTTTTTCTTTCAGAAAGTAATGATTTTTCATCTCTCTTTTCTAGTAAGTGTGCCACCAAATAAAATTGGTAAGCCATATATTGTGATGTGATTGTGCAAAGCCAAGTTACATTTTGAATTTTGTGATATGAGGGAAGCCATTCCAGAATTTATTTCACCACTTCCTATGCCAATACTGTCCCACTTCTCAGCCAGAACTCTTTCCCTCCTCTAAATAGGTAGAAAAATGAGAAAATTTAGCAGCAAATAACAGAACCAAGATAAAAGTAAGGAATCCTGCCTGATCCTTGTGTTATGTCTACTCTAGCCCTTGTAGTTTACTTCCTGGTTGAAAATATATTAGAGGACATTGTTGAAATAAAATTCTCATTTTGTGATTATATTAGGGAAGCAAATTCTGGGACATTCAGTGAAATTATCTCTAGCACAGGAGTTACGAATTTTTCCGGAAATGAATTGCTTTCTAGACGTGCTCTGAGTTTTCAGCCTTAATGGCCCTGGTCATTGCATTTATTTACTTTTGTTTACTCATATTTTGTACCATGTTGTAGTTCCCGAAAGTGCTAAAAAACCATCATGTATTTAAAACAAACCAACCAACCAGAAAAGCCCCCTCATCCTGGGGCTGTGTGAAGAAGAATGAAGCTCTCATTTCCCAGTACCCAATCATCAGCTTGAGCTGGCCTCTCCTAGGAACAGAATTTATTGAAGCAATTTATCCTGGCTAAATGTGATATAAATCTGTGTACATGTATGTATGTACAGGCTCTGTTCCATTACAGCAGTGCTGTAGCATCAGTTTTCTTCCTAGTTAGACCATGTTTCTATCACACTGAAAGATGACCAAGAAACCCCTTCTATTTTATGGGGCACCCCACAATTTTAAACACTGATTAGTTGTGGAATTACTGATTGGACACTAGAAATACTGGTTTCTAACCCCAGAGTGAGTCCTAAGAGAGTAGGAGAGATGTTACCTAGCTACCCTCTGCGTTTTAAGCATGGTTTTCCGATTACCAGATTCAGTCTAGCACATTAACATTTTATTTCAATGCGAGCCTGACAGATTGTCCTAACATTTCAGTTTATTTCCAAGATAAAAATTTGAAATTTGGTTACAGTTCTGAAGTTATTTGCAGGCGTATTCAAATTGTAGTTCCTCTCTCATCTTCCCTTGTTCATATTCTTTTGTATACCTTTCTCTTTTATGGAAGGATGTTTGAAAATATCCTTTAGGAGTTTATAAGACTACTTTTACCCCCCACTTCATTTTTCTCTTCCACCTTCCAAAATGCTGTTTATCTTTTAGGAATTGTTTTTACTATGATTTGCATTTCTAATCTTTATCCATCTCCACTTCTATTTTTATTCCTAGTTGGAATATGAGAAATTTCTCCCACACATTCAGATTGGAATTACTGTTCTTCAACAAAGGATTTCAATAAACACTTTGAGAGTTTAGCTTCAATAATTTAAAAACCAGTATAAACCCTGTTAAAGTCTTCAGAGGAATAGAAGGGATAGATGGTGATGCCTTTTAGTGCCATTTCTTTTATCCCCTGCAGCAGCACACATCTGTTGGCTGCAACAGAGCAGCCCAAGAACACTGGTCGAGAGCAGCACAAACAGCCGGAACATATTCTCCCAGTAAACCCCCAAAGAGTCGACATTTGTTTTATTGCTGCTTTTAAAAACCTAGCCGTAAATAGAATCAGAGGGGGGAAGGGCATCGATATTTCTCCATTTGCCACAGACGATTGGTGGGGGGAGGAGGAGGCTCCCGGTTTTTATTTTTATTTTTTTATTAATGAAAACCATTTCCCATGTAGCCCAATAGGATGGGTGCTTTGTTTTCTTTGGCAATAATATGGGATAAACAGCCCTTGCCAACAGTCTCGTAGTTTATACACCAGGGAGCCAGATTATGGCCCTGTAAAATGGAGCACCCCTCCTATAATCCCTTAATTAATTAAATGACAAATTTTGGTCTTCTCTAGTTCAGAAATATGGCTTCCGCATCGAGCGTTCAGTGAATTTATTGACATAAGGAATTGCACTAGTTGTAATTCAGCAGGTTGGAGGAGTGTGTTATATACTGTAGTAGAAAGAGGGAAAATCTAGCAAAGGTTTGAAACTCCTTGACTATTTAGATCTCAATCTTTCTAATTAAAAGTTTCAATTGAGACACAGTAGATCATATGCCACCTGTCTAATGGGTCTCCCCAAAGTAGCCTGTGTTTACAACTTTGATAGATGCATTTGTGGAACACCTGTTTCTGGGGTTGATATTTTTGAAGCACTTTTTTTTTTTGCTCCAGCATATTTAACATAACTTTTTCCCCCACCTCCCCCTCCTCAGCTCCGCTTTGCTATATGAAATATGGGAGACGACAGACCGTTTGTGTGCAATGCCCCGGGCTGTGGACAGGTACGTTTACAATATACTTTATTGTGAATGTCTCGTTGTGAATCAAAGTGGCTGTTTTATCACTAAGGCAAAGAGTTTAAAGCCGGTATTTTACGTGATCACTGGAGGTAATCAGATCAGAGGATTTGCAGTGTGTAAATCCAAGTTATGAGGAAGTGTAGGCACTCTACCGTAATGAAATCTGCCTTGCTCTCTTCCATATTGTTATTCTACTGGTGTTTGTTTTCCACCACACAGTGTGGAAGAATACATGTTGCTCTCTCCTCTTTTCTAAAGCTGTCCATCTAAATACAAAGCAGGTTTAGAAATGTTTTCTCTTCATGCCGGGCGCGGTGGCTCACGCCTGTAATCCCAGCACTTTGGGAGGCCGAGATGGGCAGATCACCTGAGGTCAGGAGTTTGAGACCAGCCTGACCAAAACCCCGTCTCTACTAAAAATACAAAATTAGCTAGGTGTGATGGTGCATGCCTGTAATCCCAGCCACTCAGGAGGCTGAGGCAGGAGAATGGCTTGAGCCCGAGAGGCGGAGGTTCCGGTGAGCTGAAATTGTGCCACTGCACTCCAGCCTGGGTGGCAAGAGTGAAACTCAAAAAAAAAAAATGTTTTCTCTTCAACCTGCATGGATATAAAAGTCTGTTTAACATATTATTTGGAGAGGCAGCTGATAATGTACCCACTCATTGTGAACCCCAATTTGCCAGAATCTATTTGGATTTTTTCAAATAAGGAAAAAAAAACGTTTCTTTTGACTGTTGATCCAGAAAATCATTGTTAGCAGCTACGGCAGATATCTATCTAGAAAAGACAAATCCAATATAGAACTTGAGATCTCACAGCATTATATAAACATTTTCTCTGTCTAATGCCATAAATGCATTGTTCTGTATGTCAGCTCTCACGTAATTATATTCATATGTGTATATTGTATGTTATTTTTCATCATATGCTTTTTTAATAAAGTATTTTTGTTGAAATTGCCTTTTTTTTCATTTTGCATCTTCTTAACTCTGCTTCCTAGACCTTCCTCTATTGCCATGTTCCCCAAAGTATGAAGAAAGGAATACAAAGGAAGTTTTATTTGCCTTCATTAATTCGCTTTATAGAACTCAAAGGGTTGAGTTTCTGTTCACTTAGGAATATGTCATGTGACTGTCCACTGACACTTACTGGTGGTATGTGAGATTACAGAGTAATTATATTAAACATTGTAAATATGGACAAAAAGAAGAGCTTAACTTCAGAGATTCCTATGAATTTGAGAGGTAGATAAAATGGGGGTGGTGACAAGGAATGAAGAGAAGGAAGATTCCAAATTCCAGTAAATGCTAAAATTTTCAAAAAAGACCAACAAAGGCATCGTATTCTGCAGTATTTGGCATCCTAGGGTGTATTTCCTTTCATGTCGAAGTTTTCAACTTTATTATTTACTACATGTTTCCCCATGTGATTTCTTTAATATATATATCCATTTATATATGGATGTATATAAATATTTGAAGTAAAAGCCAGTTGGGAAAATAGAATACATTTGTTTCACTTTTCAGACAGCTTTATTGAAATACATTTCTAAAAATGATCTCTCCTAGGCTGGTATGGTTCATTCCTGTAATCCCAGCACTTTCAGAGTCCAAGGCAGGGTGATCGTTTCAGCTCAGGAGTTTGAGACCAGACCAGACCCTGTCTCTACAAAAAAAAAAAAAAAAAAATTAAAAATTAGCCAGGCATGGTGGCACACGCCTGTAATCCCAACTACTTGGGAGGCTGGTGCAGGAGGATCACTTGAGTCCAGGTGTTTGAGGCTACAGTGGGCTATGATCATGCCACTGCACTCCAGCCTGGGCAGCAGAGCGAGACACTGTCTCAAAATAAAAAAATGATCTCTCCAAACTTTTACATGTGAATTAGATAATACTATTTACTATGATGCTTATGACCGATACCTCATCCCTTTTTTTTTTTTTTTTTTGGAGGTGGAGTCTTGCTCTGTCACCCAGGTTAGAGTGCAGTGGTGCGATCTCGGCTTATTGCAAGCTCCGCCTCCCGGGTTCACACCATTCTCCTGCCTCAGCCTCCCAAGTAGCTGGGACTACAGGCGCCCGCCATACCCAGCTAATGTTTTGCATTTTTAGTAGAGACAGGGTTTCACCGTGTTAGCCAGGATGGTCTCGATCTCCTGACCTCGTGATCCACCTGCCTTGGCCTCCCAAAGTGCTGGGATTATGGGCGTGAGCCACCGTGCCCGGCCTTCATCCCTTTTTTACTTCTTGCTTTTAGTTGAAAAATAGGCATTTTTGGTGAAAAGATTTATTTTTCTAATACTTACCATTATTTTTCTTCACTTATTGTTTAAGCTACTCCTGAACTCCTCTTATATGTTATATGCTTAAACCACCCAGACAAGGACTTCGCAAAGAAGTAAAAATAGATGATAAAAATAAGGAATATACGAGAAAAGCTTCTCAAGCTCTCTGAGGAAGAAAGATATGAGTAACACCTCTTTAGGCTGTCTCATCAGAAAATAGTAGTATCCACTGAAATTTGTGAAATGTCACAGATTTGTGAAATTTGTTTTTGTTTTGCTGTGTTTTGGACTGGAGGTAGGAAAATATTAGGGACTTTTGACTTTGGTTCCTTCTCGTAAAGTTGCGTTCCACTTACCGTAAGCCATTTTCTTCCCCTGCTTCTCTCTCCTGTTTCTGAATTATTTGTTGGTATTTTGGTGATTAGGATTCATTATAACCTCTGAGTTAGGTTCTAAAAGCTTTTTTCCCCTCAGTAGGAAGGTGAGTGTGGAACATTGCTACCTTTTTCTTTTGGATTCAAGATACTTATTTCATTGAAAAAGGATACACAGGTACAACTTAAGGCTTTGAAGGTAGCATGATTCATCCGTTTACCTCCTTTGCATGTCAAAACTTTATGCTCAGGTGAGATTATAGTTCTTCAGTTATATTTAGTCTCTTCCAAGTTTCTCCGACTATCAGGTAATAAGTAACTCTAGATTGGAATCTCTACAAGATTTACTGTGATTGCTTTATGTTATATGAAATAGTGAAAATCTGGCAGATAAGATAAATTTGGTAAAGTGAACTACTCTTGGCCTGTCATCCAACTCCTTAATATCCCTTGAGAATGGTTTCATTCTGGAGCCACCTTGAGCCTTTCAAGCTATTTATAATCCATTTGTCATAGATTCAAGTTCTTTCTTCCAGAAATGGTATAATAACAAAAAGGCTATGTAAATCCCAGAATGAGTAATAAGGACCATGATAATTTTTACAAGACATGGTTTAGAACCTGCTACCATAGAAGTCTCAAAAAGCAGTGGCTTCTACCGGGTAGAGGAAGTAGGAATGAAAACAATTATAACTCAGGATACTATTTCTTGTTTTCTATTTTTTATTTTTTATTTTTTTTTTGAGACAGAGACTTGCTCTATCGCCCAGACTGGAGTGCCGTGGCGCGATCTTGGCTCACTGCAAGCTCCGCCTCCCGGATTCACGCCATTCTTCTGCGTCAGCCTCCCGAGTAGCTGGGACTACAGGCGCCCACCACCTTGCCCGGCTAATTTTTTGTGTTTTTAGTAGAGACGGGGTTCCACCATGTTAGCCAGGATGGTCTCGGTCTCTTGACCTCCTAATCCGCCCACCTGAGCCTCTCAAAGTGCTAGGATTACAGGTGTGAGCCACCACGCCCGGCCACTATTTCTTAAAAAACAAACAAAACTATAGGAACCTTATATTATGTCAATATCTGCTCCTTCACCAGACTTTACCCTGTGCATTCCTAAACTCAGAAATTGTCCTCTGCCTTAATATTAAGGGAAGGTGAAAGGAAAATTCACCTAAAATAGACTAGTGGATTATGCTCTCCACTATATAATCAAAACCACTAGGCTTTCAATGGATACGTAAACATGTTTTGGTTGCTAGGTCTTTAATGGCTGTTATTTTTGGATTCTGTTCATGATCCACTTCCCAACAGTAAGTCTGATGTGACACAGCTGAGTTCTAAATATGCTGCATGTACTTAAAAAAAAAAAAACGCTGCTGAAGATTGTGCTGTCTGCATTCTTATCAGAAAAGACAGGTGATAGGGTTTTTTAGCCCTGTTATTTCTATTCTTCTGTTGAGATTTTTTTTGTTTCTCTTGAGGCCTCATCAACCTCATGAAGAGGAACTCAGGGAAAGCAATATCCCTGCTAATGCCTCTCTGTGGAATGTGGTAGCAGGAGTAGTTAATAGAGCTGCCTCCTGAGAATGGGGTTAGTGTTGTTAAGGCAACAGTGCCCCAGATACCCTCTTGGCAGAGGACTGGTTGAATTTGAGTTGTGTGGGTTTTTGAAATGTTTATAAGATAGCATCTATTTAAAGACATTGTGACTATAAAACAGCTTCGTGTTGTTAAAATAATAGAAATATAGTTTGGTACTGAATCTATTAATAGGAAGTCTTATAAGTTTTTAATACTTTTGGAGGACACTTTTACTGGAATATGGATTATAAAGTTGTTCCATTGTATGTGGAAGCAGGAATAAATACTATGTCTCTGTCAGTAATCTTGAATTTTAGATGTTATTTCATGCGTATGCAGTTAGATAACTTACCTTTTGGATGCTTTTTGCCCAGTTTTTTATTACTGGGATCAACAAATTCCATATTCCTATGCCTCCCTCTCAGGCATATGACACAGGTTTGCAGTATAAATTATGCTGATTTAAGTAGTCTTTCTGGTTACCATAATCAAGTGTTTGAACAGAAGATGATCATATCAGCTTATTAGAATGTCAATTTCCTTAAAAACAGGAACACATTTCCTCTGAGGAGATACTGTGGAGAGTTAGTATCATCCTGTTCTTAGCCAGAAAGGTTTCTGTCATATCTATTCTGTATCACCTCTGTCCTTTTTTTGTTTTGTTTTGTTTTTCTGAGACGAAGTTTTGCTCTTATCGCCCAGGCTGGAGTGCAGTGGTTTGATCTCGGCTCACTGCAACCTCCAC